CGTCTACGAAATTTGTTCCTTGCACTTGGATTTTCGTGCAACATATCGGACAGTCGATTACCGGTTCCGCTGAAATTATGTTATGTTATAAAACTGCCCCACTCTCCACTCCACAGTCTAAGGGAATACCATGGTGCAGAATTAATACCTCTACTACAACACATTGTAGATAACGTTTATTTTTGTGAATCATTGATAGTGAAACAACCGAGTAGAAAATTATGTTTCGTCCTATATATAAGAATTTCTGATGGGGCATATCTATACTATTATAATAACGCATAAACACACACTTCTTTGTGGCCTAAGATGTCAGCAATTACAGCATATTTTTGAATAATTCTTATTTTAATAAAAAGCCCTACACTTACGTCACGCTTTAGCTATTTGTTGTATAAACTACATACATTTTTGTATTAAAGTTGTTCCATATTTTAAGTAACCTAATTACAAGAAAACAATGTGGTGGTATATTTAGAAGTATCTTACCATCTACATACGCAGTGAGACAGGCCTGACAAAATGTATGCTGGCACGGCAACATCTTTGGGTTGTGCAGCACTTCTAAGCAAAGCGGACATTGTACTAACTCCTTGATCCCTCCTGCTGATATTCTGTGTAACAAAATTACAACTACTAATGATTTTAAATCTACAAGCATTCTTTGAGTATGATTGACTAAGGCCTAATTATACCTAACATGGATTAAACTCAAGCCCTTCGGTACATTTACAAATTGAAGACAACGACAGAAGCATTCACAACGCACAATTTATCTCAAAATCTTAAATGTACGTAGACAATTCAGAGAAGAATAATACGAAACTATATGCCCAAGCTTGAATGGGTATCTAGTAACTGCTGATAATTTAGGCTATGTGTAGATGTAAAGAGGGCTGCTATTTATAATATGATTTTATTGGCAGAAGTGTTTACTTTTATTTTAGATTTTTGAAGTCCCTAGGAGCCGACTCCTCATCCGTCGACACCCATGATGCAAACCAGGGTAGGGAAACCTACTAACAGCCGTACTAACAATAAAATAATAATGCAAAGTCTGTGGCGAAACTTTTAACTATAATATAACCTAGATAAATATTTCGTACGTTTATATTTCAAGGCACGTATTTGTAGTCGTTTATCTTCTTCACTAATCTTTATTGTTCTACATTGGAAACCAACTAGGAGACTTTTACATAAGTAGTGACAGCTATTTAACATATTGTTGTTAGTATTACATTTAACTAGCTGTTTACTGCGACTTCGCCCGCGTGGTATTAGAAAACACACGAACTATATAAATAACAAAAAGTTACGTATCCCTCGGGAACCGGACATTTCTCGGGGATAAAATTTATCCCATGTTCTTTCAGACTATGCTCTAAATCTGTGCTAAATTTCATCGAGATCCGTTCAGCCGTTTAGGCAAACGATTAGCGTTTTACAAACGCTAACAAACATCCATGCATCCATCGTAACTTTCGCATTTATAATATTAGTATGAAGTATGATTGCGTGCAACAAATTTAAGCAAGCCTTTTAATTGCAAAATTAATTACCATATCATCAACTAAAAAGTTAAAATAACATACTAATCCAGAACTATTTCAGTAGTCACTTATTTTACCGACGGTTCTAGTATATGTAGGTAACGTTATGTTCATTGCGATAAACATAACTGATGGGATTTTCCGTTTAGTGCAAACAAAATGTACATTTTAAAAGATTTCTCTCTGTTTTCCTCTAGTATTTCTTAGATGTTACAGTCAATTATTATAAGAAAAGACATGGCCGTGTTTTTGCGTAGCCGTGTCTCGAATAATCATTGCACCTTTTATTGTTCACAATTTTGAAAATGAATATTTGGTTTATTCATGTAAAGATTTGTAGGTTATGACCTGACCATTTGTACCACTTTTCCTTTAACGTATTTTCCTTATTGAAAGAAATTATACAAATGTAATGTTATTTTCAATTCTCGTTATATCTATTTGAAAACGATATCAGGATATAGATTATAAAAGATATCATTATCACATTAACACTAAAATGCAATGTATTGTTGCGGATGACAAAATATACTAACGATTTCGTTCAATCGAGCCAATCAAATCAATACTTATAAAAACATCAACAAATAATTAGTTATGTTTTCAAAAAGCTATGTTCCAAATAACAGAAAAAAATTGTTTCTTTTAGGTTAGATTCAGTACAATAAAATTCAAATTAAAGCTACAATATTTTAGTCATTACACGAACGTTACGACCTACATATAATTCAGACTATAATTTTTAAAGTACTATATTGAAATTTTCACAAACATTAATGAGCACGTGTAGTGTCCAAATAAAACACCGGAAATAACTAAATCAGTAACAATAACTCACTTTCTAGGTTTTGCATCCATTGCGGGAGTACTGGGCGTACGTGTTTGTGAGGGGTTTGGTTTGAAAAATTGCGTTGAATTTTGTATCTGTGGCGTAGGTGTGCGTCCATTGTGTTCCTCGTTTTGTTTCTGACTGTTCCATCTCTTCAAAGTAAAAAATGGTGGCTTTTTCCTCACTTTGTCCCCCATTTCACTATCACATATAATTAAAACTAAAAATCCGTTTGTCGTAATCAACCGTTGATAGTAAATTGACGATTTCATGTCATGAGAATCAGATTAGAATTAATCGATAAGATAGAAAGTCATTAACCAATTACGAGTACGTTGATGTAACCGAATATTATATTTTTTTCATATCCGTAATGGCTCAATTCTAATACAGAACGTCAAAAATCTAATACAGTTCCTATAAGATATGTTTAGGCTATCTATACTGATTCTTTAAAGGTATTAACGTAGTGCTTTTTAGAAATAGGGGACGTGGCATGTCCTCTATATCTATCTATACATGTAATAAAATGGAAGTGCTTGTTTGTAATATCAAAAGAACATGATATATTTGCGTTGCTAATAACGAAAATCGCATTTAAAAAATTTCGTCTGTCTGTCTGTTTGTCTGTCCGCAAGCTGCGTTTGTTCCGCGTAATCTCCGTAAGGGCTGGGACAATTTCGACCGGACTTCACTGCTGCTCACAGCTGACATAGACAGGCATATTATAGGCAACTTTTTAAATTTTAATATAGCGTCGACGAAGTCGAGGGCAACAGGTAGTAAATAATAAAATTGTATATTCTATAGTCCTGAAAGGATATAACTCAATTGTTTTGACCGCTACCTATTAACGCTACAATCATTGGCTTTTTCTACTAAATCGAGTGGTACTTTGTGGCATTGTAAATATCTTTATTATTGCATTCCACCCACTCACGTGTCTAAATAATTGCCGTATCCTTGCTGTACACGGAGCGCATCTCCACGAACCGTTATTCAACAATAACCCCCTAAAATATTGCAACCTCGAAGCCTACATTGTTTCGAGGTTGACCGCGACATGCTTACGATAAATTTAGTGTATATCGCCGATAAACATTTTCCCTTAACGTTATTTATGTATGTAGGTGATAATTTCATATCCTTTTGGAGTGAAAATTTTAGTATAAAACCTTTATTTGTGAACTTGCACTTTAGAATTGTCAAAATTGAAAGTAAAAGACTTTGTATGTGGATCACTTTGATATCACAAGTAGCTTTTGCCCGCAACTCCGTCTCCGTGGAATTAAAAACAAAAGTAAGTAGCATGTGTGTTCTTCCAGACTATCATTTACGTTTATGCCAAATTTCATCGAGATCCGTTAAGCCGTTTCGCCTACAAACTCTAACAAACATCCATCCATCTAAACTTTCGCATTTATAATATTAGTATGATAATATGAAGTATGATTTCCAGTATAAAGTGTAGTTAATAAGAAATGAAACAAGTACTTCCGTCTAGTTTTAAATTTACTTTAATCTTTAAATTTTGTGTAGTTGGTCCCGAGTATTGAACGTCAACTGAATATATCGTTAGGGATGTTCCGTAACCGTGTCAAGTGAATACTGTCTAGAAGATCAGGCTAAACAACTTTGCAAGGCACTTTACGCTGCCAATTAAATCCTTATAAGAGTGCGCATGATATTGCATACACGCTGATAGATAGTGCACATATTTTTATTATATAAATCTCGCTGTAATGCTTTTGTTTTGGGTACTCATTGATGTTCAGATTTATGAAGAGACTAGCTTTCGCCCGCGACTCTGTCCCCGTGTAATTATAAAAACAAAAGTGAGTAGCCTATGTGTTCTCCCAAACTATCCTCTACATCCATACCAAATTTCATCAAAATCCGTTCAGTTGTTTAGGCTACAAACTCTAACAAACATCTATCCATCCATCTAAACTTTCGTATTTATAATATTAGTAAGATAGTAGGGGAAATATTAATTTATGAATTTCAAAAATTGAATCACTTCATAATGACGTGATTCAAAAACTGAATCGCCGTTACATTTGACTGTTAAATTGCCCATTGAAATAACCCATGCAAACAATAACAAAGGGTTTTCTAGTTTCCTCTAAAAAAATAAGTATTGATTACAAACAAACTCAACTGTTACATAGCGGTTTAAAAAAACTAGAAAATACATAGAACTGAAATTGCACTGACACATGGCGTATGGATTATAAATTGGCCAAACCTATACCTGGGTTTACGACATTTCTAATGTGCAAAATCGATAGAACACTATCTCGTTCTGCGATAGCAATATTTGTACGCATGTTTCCGTCTTATGATTATACCAGGCTACTGTTCTATAAGCCTATATATGGTTGTTAAAACTAATTTATTTGTTTTTGAACTAATCATTCGTACTAAAATTGACAACACCCTACATTTCGAATGGCTTTCATTAATGTATAATGCCAATGTGTTTAGGCTGCAATCATCAGGTCTTGTAAACTAAAAAAACCTTTTTATAGTAAGTAAGCTTCATAAACATCGTAGCTCCGTGATTTCAGCCAAAGAATACATTTTTTATCTACATTGTATACCTACTCAATCAATCTATAAATCTTCAAATGAGGTCAATTTAGTTGTTAAAGTTGGCAGATTTTTTTCTAGTGATTACATTCCAGTTTAAATGTGGTCGTTGACTTGCGTGACATCTAATTAGCTATGCAAATCATGGTCAATAACACTGTCCAGTTTTATTAGAACACAAACGGTTTCAAATCCATTTATATTGCGAGTGTCTAATTAAAGTATATCTGTTCGTACTTTCCACACATCAATTTCTTTCAGTCCTACATGCTTTAATTTGACCACTACGCTTGATTTACGTTTGTATTTAGCTAAAATCGATTTTGTAGGTCTACGTATTAAAACGAAAGCTAAACCTACTAAAGTTTCCGACTTCATATGCCATCAGAAAACAATGAAATCCACTATATTACTGTATTACATTGGTGGTAATTTATGTCTTTTTTTCGTACTAATCTACTGTCGCCTATTGCAACACGATAATCGTGGTGGAAACATGAGGGTCTAGAATGATATTAAACACCTACCTTATAAAAAACATACGTAAAAATATCGTACTGTGTAGGATATGCAGTATATCTTTTTGTTTTTTTTTATAACATATGGTGACATACGAGCAAGCGGCTACCTAAAACCACCAAAATGGCGAAGCGACCGCTGCCCATAGACATCCGCAATTACAGATGCGTTGTCTACCTTTACGATTACGATACGATTATGTTATGTTATTATTTATTATGTTGTTTATTATTTACCGCTTGCGTAGTGGAGCAACAGTATATGAACAACTGTTTTTAATAATTGCGCTGTCAATTACCGCGATCCTTCGAATTCCCACACCACCTCGTTTCGCATTTCGTAACTGTACGCTTTCCATGTAATTTAATGTCTCGCTCAACTGACTTGTGGAATCAACTGTCGCTTCTGCAAACAACAAACTAAAGGGCATTTGCAAAAAATATAAATATCTACGTACACGCTTTATAACGTAAAACATTGTTTTTTCTTGGACGTTCATCTTTCGACATCTAGTCTTGTTTCTTTCTATAAAGTTTTGTGTGTCATTATTTTTTTTTACCTTATTGTAACCATTTATAGTACTATTTTCATCGTCGTCAACTAACAAATACGTAATTGAACCATGTACCTACAATAACACATTACGTTTACCTTAAATTGGCCACCTCAATCTGGTCGTACCATCACTTCTATGACATTAAGTAGACGTGTTCTGACTTTATGATATGACCATTTAAGCGAAATTGCGAACGTTTAATAGAATACGTTAACTTGTGAAGCATACGCAATCGACCTCTGCTATGTAGAATTGTTAAGAAAATTAATTTTTGTATAGAAAGTTAGGTCTTTGAAATCCTTGTTTACGTCGTCCCGCAAAAGCTTTCTGAGACAATAGCATGCATAATGTTCTCTGGGAGGTCATTTTAACGGAAACGTCACATTTCGTTGTTATTAAAATGGTCGTAATTCTAGAAAGAAACTTCGTAGGTAATGTGTGCCAGTGTGTTTACACTGTATAGGACTCTGTATAGGACATGTTTAAACGCGAGTTGTAAATCTCGTGACGCTTTCCACCCCGTGGTTAGTGGGTTAAATAGTTCATTATCACAACAATGCTGTCGTTAAATATACATTATTCAAATTAACTTGATCACATAGGCTATGCATGAGTTAAGTATAAGGTTTCTATGCTGATTTCAATGAATAATGCACTGGGATCAATGCATCTTTGTTAGTAAACTTCAGCAACGCTGTAACGGTCTTGAAATCATATAACAGCATTTAACGTTTTACTAGAATCATTACCATATGTTTCACGTTAATTTCGCCTATTATTTAATTACCTATATTCGATTTGATTTTGTTAAACCTACAAAGCTAAAGTAAATTATCTTTATTTTGATTTTATTTTTGGTTACTCAGTAGTTTTTTGTTAGCAGTAGAAAGTGGTAAGTATCTTTGGTCTCCTAACAAATGAAGTTCGTTGAAATAAAAGCCCAGAGAGATGCGAGATGCGGGTGCATTCTAGTCTCATGTTATTGTACCCGCATAGTACCTTACGTAAAGTAAGAACCATGTTATTCATTAAACTGGAATACTGATTTGTTACGCGAAAGCTTTTAAATCAAAGTTTTAAAGTGCTCGATTTGTAAACTGTTCAGGTAGTTGTGATGGCTGAGGAATTGTTATGAGCTTGTATTTGAAATAAGACTGGCGCTTCTTAAAGATTTCATTTAATTTAACATGTGTAAGGCATTTAGGTATTGAAGTAGCGCCAAGATATATTTGCCAACGGTATGATATTATAATGATGATCTTATAATACTTGAGAAAGTTTATTACTAGCTTATGCACCAGGCCTCGACTGGGCGATTTTTTATAATAAATTAGGATAATTAAAGTCGAAGATACTTTTTTGAAATTAATCCTAAGTTTAAATTTATACCGCGTTTATTTGTAAGGCTGTTAGTCTATACTCTATACTAATATTATAAAGAGGAAATATTTGTATTTTTGTATGTATTGAAATAACTCAAAAATGACTGGGCTGATTTTAAAAATTCTTTCACTGTTAGAAAGGTAATTTATTCGGAAGTAACATAGGCTATACTTTTTCTCAGTTTTAAATTCACGCGGGCGAAATCGCGAGCAACAGCTAGTTTTCAATATAGCCAACAAAAACATAAACTATGCATTCATTAAAATAAATACTGACCGAGAGGAGACGCCGAAATACCTTATCAACATAAGCCATTACGAAACAGTTACTGGTTTGATTTAACACGTGTCTAGTCTAGACTTCTTTTCGTGCTCTCGGGCTATAATAAATTTGGAAACACACCGATAACATCGAAGGTGTTCTCTGTAAGTCTTTAGCATTTTATTTGATACATTTCAGTTGTTATAAGCTTTGTGTAAAGCATATAGTATCCATAAATAATTTGCTACGATTTCACTTGAACACTGAAAGTATTTGCAAAACTTTCTTGTGTGATTAGAAGTAATTAAGTGTGATGTTTTAATAGTTATAAATTAACGACGTGTGATAAATCTATTCAGCCGCCAGGCGCGGTTTACATGTAGGCGTGTTATCCATTAAAAGAGGTATGTACAGGAAAAGGAACACCGCTAACCCAGTGGCCAACTGGCGAAGCGACTTCCAACGATTACCGTCCGACCGAGCATTCCATACCGGTACCGCCGCGCAAACACACGCCATCTGGTAACTACCACCATTACGAAACGTACTCCTGCCTTCATACACCTCGCCATGGTAGAGCTTTAAAGTGGCCGCACTATGAGGAGCCACCTATCACCCCGGGGTGCGTCGACGAGTCATTGTCTCGCGAGGAAAGCGATGAACGCGCCTCGCATCGCAATTAGCAAAGAGAGTTTTGGCGGCAAGTGAATACAAAGTTGTCATCAATATTGTCGTTGCCTGTTGACATTACTGACGCGACGGAAGGACACGCGGTCGAACGTGACCGGAGGAAATTTGGCGCGATTTTTTTCCACAAACAGTTCAAACTAAATACATGTTTTGTTATGCGCGGGCGCAGACAAAAAGTTTGCGAAATTTTTGGCGAGAATACAGATTTGGAGTCGTGCTCAGGGCGCTCGCGATCGATCATTGCATCCGGCGATGATCACAGTGCAGGACGCAGTTCTCAGTGATTGATTGTGCGATTTACTTGACATTACATTAGTGTTCAGTGATAATTCATTGCCTTCAAAGTTAACGAGTTATGCGGTGAGTTTTACATTCATTCAACTATTCACCTATAACTTTCAATTGAAATGACATAATTGGTTTTAGTTTGGAAAGACAGTTTAATTCTATGAAAATCCAGATTCCGAAGATTAGAATATTATTTAAATATTTTTAAGGGTTTTAATACTGTTGTGTTGTTTGAAGACTATTATATCATTACAATGGGAATTCCCTTTTTATCACTGCTACTATCTTAAATTACATTTAGTTATAACATTAATTATTATGTGATGTTAACACGTTTTATTTTATAATAACGAGTTTATTGAGAAAATAGAAATCATAAAGGTAACTGGATAGTAATATAATAAATCTAAGATCTCTTGTTTTATCTCAAACTCGATTCTTACTATGTGACTCCGCGTATTACTTCGCGCCAACAAGTTTACAAAAACACGGTTATTTCTTGCGCGCGACAGGATAGCAATTTATACTTTTAAAATATCGAGTACATTAAAAAGATAAGGTAATTAAACTATGAAATTAATCTTTTTAAAAGTGTCAGTTTGGAGATCATTTTGCAACGTGGTAACTTCTTCCTGACAAACTATTTATCTTCTAATTTTATTATTTCTTTTAATAATTACAATAAGCGAAGCTTAGATTAGATATAGGAGATAGAACGATATATTACTTTTGACACTTAATAGAGGGATATAAGAATAAAAATTTAGAGTTAAGATCTTTAGAATTTTTATTAGACTCCTATTAAATTGTTACTAGGTAACATATCGAATAAATCGAAGAAAGTTATCGAATAAGACGTATAATTTCTAATCAGGGAAGAAACCAAAAAGATTTATAATAAAAGTTGAGTAGAACCTGCAATGCGGGTCTGTATAAAGCTACGCCGAAGGCAATGTTTATGAATACTGATTAAACATTCTGAGCTGTTATTTAGGTCTAGAGATAGCATTTTTCAAACTAGATATTTATTAGCACTAACAAGCTCCAATGTAAATTTTTTGAGAGATAACACTAGTTTGTTCTGTATTGACCCGAAATCGCAATAGTGGATTGATGTTTAATATTTTGCTACAAAGCGCTACTAAATGAGCAATTTTTCTTGTCCAACAAACAATAAAAACGAACGACTGTACACCTGTCCTATACCGTCTCTATCTTCGGTCAAGTAGTCAATGGATCGCAGACTCACAGTGCAAGACATAAGCATGAGGAAAATATTACCCTGTTGTACAAAAATAAAAACAAAAGCACTAACAATTTGTGAAAACGGCATATGCAAATAACGAGCTGTCAAAGTCGGTCGTACATCAAGAAGTGTAGGAAATCGCGCCATCTGCAGTATACAGCGACCTCAAGTTAAAACAATAACACATTTGGCTGAGATGAAATGTTGCGATTTATCGTACAGTGTCACGTTTACAATGGACAATTCTATTCTAGATTCTCTTGACCCAGAACTGTACAGTTTTGATCTGTTTCGAAATTTCCTTCCGTGACATATTTACGGCACATTTGCGGGTTGGTAGATAAAACTGATGAATACATAAGAGGATGTCTGAGGATTTTACGGAAGGAGTTTGTCAGTTTACACACGAATTACATAAAATTAAATTTCATTAAAAATTACATGTCATTTTTTAAAACTTAATATGATGGATTTATAAACGTTACACAAATTTCAGATATTTTGTTAAACATATTTACTTTAGTGACAAAAATCCATCACAGTTACTTATATATTTTAACGCCAATAAATTTTGGGGGTAAAATTTTTGGATAAAACCCTAATGTGGGAAAGAGACCATAAGTTGCTGCCAACATCAAGGAAGCAATTGTCATTTGTGCATTTGAATCTTGACATTTTATGCGGCTGAAGCCGCACTGGAACAGCTAGTTATATAATAAAGCCTATGTTATTCAGTGATATTGTAGCTTTCTAATCGCGAAAAAAAATTAAATCTCTTTAGTATTTCCAGAGTCTGTTTTAAACAAACAAAATATAAGATCGGAAATACAGGCTATCAAATTCAGATTACTCTAATGTAAACTGTCGATGACATTGCAAATATAAGTTCATACTCACAATATTATATAATATTTATTACATTACGATATGGCAATAATATACTGTAATAAATCATTTAATACAGAGTGCATATCTCGATGTGTGAGCAATGACAACCGTTACCTCAGAGTTATAAAACGTTTCTTGCTAATGGTAATCAATTTACTCTTTTTGCAGACTTTGTCATATATCGTCTTATACTGTCAAAGTATTTCCACTAATAGAATATTTTTAGATGGATGGATAGATGTTTGTTAGAGTTTGTCGCCTAAAAGGCTGAACGGATTTCAATGAAATTTGGTATAGGAACACATAGGCTACTTACTTTTTTTTTAATTCTACGCGGACGGAGTCGCGGGTGAAAGTTAGTAATTATATTTATATCACACTCCAAATCATCATACCAATATTATAAATGCGAAAGTGTATACTACGTATATCCAGAATAGCTTAACTGATCTCGATTAAATTTGGCTTAGACTTAGAATATAGTCTAGACTTCTAGGCGAACACACGTTACTTACTAAAATTATTTTTAGTTTCACGCGAAGGAAGTCAAGTGCAAAAGCTAGAAGAAAATTATTTTTAACTATTCATCTCAACTTTGCTCCAAATAACATCACATTTAACTTAAATCTAATTCGTTAACATGTCAGTTAACGTATGCTCTATAGCATTAGAAAATATTTTAAAGTTTTAACCCAGTAACTGCTAAAGTTATTGAAAAGTGTGTCAAAGAATATTTAAAAAGAAACAATACACGAACTCTCACTACCGTTTTAGAATACATTTATTTAAACAATACCTTTCCTGGCAATTATATGGATATTTGGCGACATTTACATAATTCGTTGATCATCGTTACTTCAGGTATAATCAAAGAATTTAATTCATATCCCTCTCTGGGACTGTCACTATAAGAGAAATAATATTACTATGCCAAGTTTACGACCTAATTGTGAGCCTCTAATGGGTAGGAAGTAAACGTCCTCGACTGTATCCGGGCTAAATGCAACCTCTAATAAATTAATCATTTCACTTTCGTCCCAAAGGGTGTTTCATGTTTTTTTCAATTGTGAAAGCGAACGACGCTTCGCATACGAATGGATTGCGTGATTATAATCGGAAACAAATCGATGCGTTATCGATACTTGAGGTTTCGATTCGTCAACTCGCTTCATGAATACCAATTAATCAAATCACTGGCTGCTAATACGAAAGCTTCCGAATGATTATTTAAAACTATTGTAACTAGCTGTAACTCTAATTACATCACTACAGCATGCTAAGAATGTTGAAAACTTACATATGTAAATATTTTAGTCACGAAGAAAATGTTCTTCACTGGTTTTGTATTCAAATGCACACTTTAGCGAATACATTTTTTAAAATTTATAACTATGAACTAGTAAACATCTTTTAAACTAATTAAATAGTCCAAAATATTCTGAAATTAGGATCCAATCACACTAGGACTAGGATGAATAGGCACATATTATCGCTTATAGAGTTTTATTTTAAAAAGGACTTGCTACATTATTAATGTTTTTGTATGCTATTTGCTATTATATTATTGCTATTGTTCGTTTTCTGCATTTAAAATATAGCTTTAAAATTAACCATATGCATTTTTTTCATAACAAAATGAAATTTAGAAAGCTATTAGATTCCCTTCGTAACTACGTCCGCGTGGAATTAAAAAAAAAACAATTAGCCTATGTGTTCTTCCAGACTATATTCTACGTCTATACTAAATTGTATCCAGATACATATAGCCGATTAGGCTACAAACTCTAACAAACATCCATCCATCTAAACTTTCGCATATGAGATTAGTTAAAATTAACTAAGTTACTTTGAAGTAATTTAAATGTAGAGCAATAGAGGACATGATTTCCAATTATAACCGCCAGTTTCTACTGCAGAAACGCTTGTAAACATATCGCTATCCCTCTTATGATCTTTGAAAAAACAGAGATATATTTATTTCGCTTTACATTTCGGTTATGAAGTAAACAATACTGTCCCCGTAGTTGTAACGGTCGTTAGTAACTTGGTCAGTCTGTTCAGCTGACAGCATTGTTATTAAAATTTTATTATCATTCATTATTTGCTTTCCTTACTTATATTGTAACTTACTTTACTTGGAATTGGTTACTTGTGTACATATGGAAATTGCATTTTAGTGTCGTTGACATATGCAAAATATTTTATTGTACTTAATACCATGGGCGTCGCCGGTCGATGATATAGGCTAAGAGTAACTATTAATTTGCTCTTTTCGAAGTAGTTTCTATATCTATTTTACATTTTTCTATTATCTACGAAGGGATAACTGCCCCGCTCTCTTCCATCCCCTAGGAAAACTAAGTAGCTATAAGAATATATAAACGACTTTATCGTGGTTAATGAACGCTTGCATAATTATATTAAATCCTAATGAATAGTATCGATAAAAATATATTTTTTTGACATAGTACAAATCTCAATAAGTAACTCACAACTGACATGTAAATTAAAGTATACTTAGTTGTATTGAGGTCAGCATATAAACATATCACACTAACCAGAGATACTAATTATGTACAAATATTAAACGTCATATTGTGATAATGTTCAAAACTGAACAATGTAACATCCATCTCAATAACTATGTCCGTCCGTGACCGAAGTCAATGTCACAATCATAACATTTCATGCAACAATCGCGAGACATCGCCGCTTACGTTGATTTAATATCGATTGTCGCAATAAACCGGTCCGCCTGACCTGTACCGAGTGCCTGATATGATGCGGGTGCAGCCAACAAACTCACTTGACCTGTAATACATTAAAGTAGGCCAATTCAACAGGTTTAATCCTTTGACTCTGATAGCATTCCTTGGAAAACGACTAACAATTTTTATTGACATGTCAATGAGTTTCTTTCCTATTACCTTTATCGTCTTCGATTAGATCAACATTACTTTAGCTGTTCGATCTGATTTTGTTTATTTTTCTTTAAAATTAAATTAATTACCTCCAAAGAAATGAAGAGGTTTTTATTTTTCCAATTAGACAGGTACTTATCAAATTATATTAAAGAAAAATTATTTGAATCAAAACCAACTGGTATACTAGTCGTTAAACATCGTTTAATAGTCTAAGAGTGAAATTCAATATACATTAAGGAGGAGAGTCGTTAAGTGGTACCCCACTGAAAGAATCTGAATGCAGTAGTAAGTCATACATATCACAAAATCCCAAAGCACAAGGAGCAATAATTTCGTAAAACATTGGTGGAATATTTTCATATATCGCTCTCACTCCAGTTGCAATAATTTTGATCGTAAAGTGTACCATCACTTTTAATTCATTATCAAAAGGTTGCTTTGAAGGACACGTTCTTATTTGAAATTTCACACTTGTTTCTGGCTGAATACATACAGTCATAGGCTTTATTGTAATTAATTTCTTCGTCACATTCGAAGCGTATATTTTTATTGTCGAAGAGAAAATTTTATGAGTATTAGTAATAACAAAATAATCGACACAAACGCCATGGACAACTGGTGCATTGCTCATATCAAATATTGTTGGAGAAATCTCTATTGGATGAGGCAAAATTTCGGCAAACACTTTAACAGTTTTGGTTTCTATTAATTCGTAAGTATCCACGCTACGAAATTCTACATCAAAGTAACTCTGATGATAGCCAAAGTATTCACATTTACTTAAATACACTGATGTTTTTCGTTTGGAATTCACTGGTAAACGTAAACATGTTATGTCAAATATAAATGTATCCAAAGAAACTTCTATAACATCTTTTACTAAAGACATTATAAAATTATCTATACTATCGTCCTCAAATTCATTAACTGTCGGAGGTTTTTGTATAAAACTTGTACTAATTTCTTTAACTGAATCACTAGCGGTAGTTTGTATAGTAGCATTGTTTGAATTGCACGATTCTATTTCTGCAACGTCCATCTTATGTTTAACAATTCTTATATCATATTCAAACTCGTCTTTACCTTCAATTGTTAAAATGCCGCAGGGATATCCAAATTTTGGATTTAAATGCCAGGAATAGACCGGTGGTATAAAAACTGTTTCAGACACCTTTGTACATCTTCCTTTCTTAAATTGTGTGGAAATAGTAACGCAGTATTCGGATAAGAAATTTATATCGCCATCTTTATATTGGACTAAGTAAGTCAAGCTTGTTAAGAAATCTTCTTTAGTTTGCTTTAAGTTGAAAACAAATTTAAATCCTATTGACAAACCAGGGTATAATTTAACAGGAAGATAGGGAAACACGTTTGCTTTCTTGAATAAATCTCGATTTGTTACATTTTTGAATCTTGCGAAAACACAATCTAAAGAAGTATTTTTAAGTGAAAACTTTATGGTCTGCTTCACAGGAGAGTTATTGGTTATAACTATTTCTTTTGGGTAACATTCAATTAATTTAAAACTCATTGAATGACATACCGTTGGTTTAGACACTCCCGAGGCGTCAACACCATCCGAACGTAGAGAATGATAACTCAGTTCACTATAATTTGAATCACTTGAATGACTTTCTTGAACATTAATAGGTTCATTTTCTTTGTCTTCTAAAACCGTGTCTTCTTCTGCCGTTTCTTCCAAACCTAAAAACGATGCGTCAATAAGGTCTGTTGTTTTGTCAGAAGTTTGTATAGAAGGCAAAGGTCCCTCAATATCTGTTAAAGTGTTTGTTCTTTGCTGTTTTAGTTGATTCATCCACTGAGATTTCTGCCAAACAGACCATGTTCTTACAAGTCTTTCGGTCAACTCAAATGGTGTTAGCCTTGTGTTCTCTAAACAAAGCTTTTGTATGATGAGGAATTTTCGTAGATTTACCTCTTTAATCTTTCGCTCACGATAGTTCGATACGAAATACAATTTCTCGATAAGGCATTTCCATTGAGGCAATGTTTTGAAATCAATTTTAAACGTATCTTCAATACTTTTAATGAATTTTTCGACATCTATTTTGCCTTTATTCGTATCCCGTATACGGATGCATGTGTCCGTTGTTTTCATCCTATAAAAACGTCGTCAATATTTTTACAAAAATGTTAAAAGACTACAATACAATAGTTAAAAGGTTATTCAGAAAAGGTAATGAAAAATTATAAATTATTGTTTGTAAAATACACAAATCGTCATTGACACGAGATGTCATTACAAAATCCGTTCCGTTACTCGTATTCAAAAGGTATCCAAAATTAATTTCAGATGGTTTTATTTCGTATAATTTTACACCATGTATGTTTTAAATCAACGTTGATTTTACGTTATTATTAAAGTGTAGTAATTAATATGATAAATTAAATATTGGTACAATACTTAACCATAAACATACCTTTTAAGGTAGCACTTTTTGCTAGTCATTAAAAACCTCATAATAATTTTAATTTTAAATCATTTTGTCTTTTAGCAGAAACATGATGGAGGCGACGGTGCACCGTGTCCTGCTCAGCATAGCATTAGCTCTCCTGCCAATAGTATCGTCAAACCAGGACCACATTGCCAAAGAAGACATACCTCATTCGAGGCAGAAAAGAATACTCTGGATAACTAACGATGGACGGCTAGCATTGCCGCCGGGGACCACAATGGCTATCACGCCTTCACTTTCAATGCCATTCGTACGACATCCGCCTAAAGGATTTTTGTCTAACATGACAGTTAGCTTCCCATTTACAAGTAAGTTGATAATTTTAATTTATCTAGTTTTTGTTTTCTAAGTTCCCAGTATGTTTTTTTGATTAGGAAACGAATTTGATATCCAGCATTAGAGGAGCTATGAAAGTTGTCGGTCAATATGGAAAGAGTTCTCTCTTCTTGAATTTATAGATGTTATCTCAATATTTACAGGTAAACTGACATACGAAGTGGAATTCAAAAGTCAGTACATGTATTTAGGTTATACTTTGAGTAGATCAGTCGTAATAAATAAAATGTAGAGGAGACGATTAACATCTTATGAGTATGTAGTTGTTGTAACAATAATAATCGTAAAAATTAATTTAGCTAATTAAATACTGTATTAATAAATAGAACGTAGGTGAAAATAAATTCACACATTTTGTAGTGGCAAAATTAGATTAGTAATTTATAATAATAATAGTTAGGAAGCAATTGTACCGAAGGTAAGCATAGATGGTAAATAGCAACCAACAGTACCGTAGTAACATTGGATATGTCATAAATTATATCGTCATTATGTAAATATTGCGATGCAGGTAGGTAATTGTAAATGTAGAGGAATTTTCTTACCGATGCTAGTAAGTTATTCTGAGTGAATTTAGCTCTTAATTTATAAAATACTAGACGCAGAAATTGTGTTTTGAGGTAGCTGTATTATTTTCATTTACAAAAATTTCAAAAACGAAAAAAGAGGAATAACTCAAAGGTTCATTGTAATGACATAAAACCTCTTTCGTTACAAAAAACAAACGGTGTAGTGAACCCTTTGGGGGGCTCTTTATTGTAATATACTAACATATTTTTATTACATTATAGTTGATTTCGATAAATTGGGATTGACGGATAATGAGAATCCATACGGCGACCTGCCGCCGATCTTTGCTCGGTCTATGGGCGGTGCTGCGGCGTCTGTGATGGCTAACTACATTGGACATTACCTCGACACACGACGAGGGAAGCGATCGACTAGAGAGGCTATACCACCAGAAGTAGAGTCAGCTGTACTTGACAGATTTCATGGCGGAGAAAGGTATTTTTTTTAATACGCTTACACGTTTTACTGTTTACTTTCTTTAGTCCTAAAAGACCATTCTTTGCTGTTGTAGATTACATGGTATTCATTATTATAAACTGAGAAATACCCATTCACTTCCTTGTATTTCTACTCTGTATGAATAGCCATAATTTTAAAATTAATATAGATGGTTACATTTGTATCATTTTAAGATTTTGACGTTAAAAATGATAAATTAACACTTTTGTACGCTTCCATAGAACTTGCTAGAAAAATTGATCTCGCATTTTTGTGATAGCACTTCTTTTAGTTTATTAATTGGTTGGAAATAATAAACTATATCTATACAATCAACCATATTAGAAGATATAAATTTCTATGTTTATGCAACTTTCACCCTTATACTAATGACGTAAATCAGAACTCAAGCCACGTACGCACTAGTTGGTTACGAGTGATGAATGTTGCTTTTACTGAGGATGTTTTAAATTCTTACAATGCTCCGTTTAACGTTACATAAGTCAGTTGTAACCGACATTAATTTTAGAATTTAGAATTAAACCTTATTACGTCATATTACAAATAAAAATAGACAATTTATGAATGCAATAGATATTACATGTTTTTTATACTAGTATTATTAATAAGTAAAGATTTGTATGTACTGTAATGACTCAAAAACTATTGGGCCGATTTCAAAAACTCTTAACCATTAAAAAGCTACGTAATTACTGAGTAACATAGGCATATTTTTAATTTCACGCAGACGATATCGCGAGCAACAACTAGTCTTTTATAATTCGCTTGCTAAATTATTATTATGCATATTTAAGCTCTTTCTGATTTACATTTTTTCTTTAATTCATAATCTCATGTTTCCAGAGCTTTAATGTACGGTATAGCAGAGGATTTATTAGCTAATTTCGGTCTCTCCGGTAAAGAGTGTCTCTTGCGGGCTATCTGCGAGATCCACGCTCATCCACTTACCAACTTTGGATTCTTAGGCGAAGTGATGAAGTTATTCTTTAGGTAAGTTTTATCACAAATATTTCTAACGTTACACTTCTTTGATAAGTGTGAATACAACTACCCTCCTCACTCATTCTTTAGTGAGGAGGGTAGTTGTAGAACTAGAAAGAGATGGATAGAGTGAAAGGTGACGTGATCAAGAAAGGAGTGATAACTTAGATGACGGATGATCGAGATATTAGGAGGACGAAAGCCCGGAGCGCCAACCCTACGGGAGTAGGATAAGGTGGGGGAGATGATGCTGATTCTAAAGCCTACATTTAAGAATTTTTGATCACAAATATAAGTACGAAAATTCAATAATCTCTGACTTTCTTTCAGCCCTAGCAAATCGCCGTACTCAAGTCTTTTGGAAGAGTACGTTGAAGCACAACGCGCAGGCGAGAGCGGCGGCGAATGTTGGCCGTATTACCGACTTTGTCCTAAGAGCATCTTCCAGCCCTCATCTGCTAACAAATACTCGTAAGTTGTACCAACGTACACGACCAATAGGCCAACGTGCGCAAATAAGCCAATACAAACAATGCATCATATGGAATCGATAATTCAGTATATGCAATCAATAGAGGCCAACGCAAAGAAAAAAATCGAAGAAAAAAGTTAACAAGTCATCTAAAATATATTTATCTGTGTAGGTTGCAAAGACCATTTGTTAGTCCTTAACTTTTACACGTTTCAGAGAAAATGCGGAGGATCTACACAGGCGGAATGAACAAGAAAACATCGATAAGAACATTCTAGAATTAAAGGCAATGTAATATAGAAAACTCGTTAAAAGCGTATCCCAAATGTAGTGCTAGCTTCCAGCCAAAGTTGATTGAAAATTAGTCTATGGAGAATTTGAGTTGATACTGTTTAGGACCGTAGTAGTTACTTATTAAAAAAATATACATAGATAAACGAAACCTTATTTATAATAAATATAAGTTGATACATTATCAATGTAAATACTATTTTCACAGAAGCTAATAAGATACATAACTTAGGACTTAAATTAATGAATAGCAATTTTACATGATAGCAGATTCAATATTTTATAACCCTGATTTTTAATCTAAGTGCCATTCTATGTAAGGTAAATGTAACTTAGAAACAACTTGCTTTTGTAAATTTTTCCTAACATTGTAAGTTAGCTAAAGCTGTGTAAGTTAGTAAATTAAAGTACAAGAATTCCTTAGATGAATATTTTATAAATGTAATGTTAAGTATTTATGGTTATTTATTACTAATTTATTTAAATAATTATTATTTATTAATTTTGATTGTTGGTTTTATTTATAGGAATGTAAATGAAAGTCCTAGACGTGATTACCTAGTAATTTTTGTATAAATATAATAAATTTTTTATTTTGTATATTTAATTGTTTTATTAGATTTTTTCTTTATTGTAATATTTAAAGAATGATTCGTGCCAGTTAGCCCCAATCATAGTATAAACAAATTCTCAAGAATATTGAGCTACAAGTTTAAAGTAGACCAAGGTCTTCGTTAAATCGATTTTTGGCAGAAAACTAATATTGTATTATTAAAAATGTAACAAGCATTCACTGCGCGCGCAATTCTGCACGATTTAACTCAAATTGAACTCTATGTTACCTTGCTCAGACTTCAAATTACTATAGAGTCGTCTCAAAAGAATATTGTCCAATAAATAGTGAAATAATAGTCATATTCGGGCCAAAACTTAAATTGAAATTTAATGTAAAAAAACATGTGTTATAGCAAAACAAACGTGAAAGTAGATTATGTTTACTGAAACATATTTTTTGTCATATAACTAAGGAATTGCAAGTAAATAGTTTTATATTCTGAGTTAATATAAATACCATAATAACAATAACACTATTTATATTCCGAACTATCATAATTTTAATATTTTTGGACGACTAAAATACTATGGCGTGGTAAATCTGTGACGCACGCATATGAGCTTCAAAAGCTCCGTCAGGGGGCGTGAATTGAAGACCGCAACTTGACAACAATCGTCTATTTTTAGATCAAACCATTGATATGTTTAAGGTAAGAGTGATAGGTGTAGTATTCAGTGATTAGAAGAAAACGTGTGTGATAAAAATGTTTAATTTCAGCCACAACATGTGATGGTAATTTATTTATTTATGATGAACGTAATGGTAGAATCTACTACTAAAACAAAACGAAGCTATTCCGATCAATCCGTACGAGGATATATTACAGAGGTAAGTCATTTTCAATTAAAACACTGAAAATATATTTAATTTCACATCCTGATACTAAAACAAAGAAAAGTTTTTTTTTAACGTAACAAAACCTAAACGTACTAAATTTATTTTGACATTTTAAATTATATTTAAATAGCTGCTATGAGTAACTTAGACTTTATTGTAAGACTTTACACTTAAATATAGAGCACAATAGATACTTATATAATTTTTTCCTAAATAAAACTATTCAAGACATTCATAACAATTTTGTGTAGGGTTTAAAACAAAAGTCTACATGTACGATAATCGCGTAAAACATTTCAGAGGACATGTTGGTGGAACGAAGTTTGCAAGGAGGAATTCCAAACGCTGTTCCGATGTAAATGTCCATCCTGGTCATACTGCCGAAGTCCTGGCAAATATTATAATGCGGTATGCTCCATGACTGAGACTGGTTACATCTGGGACCAACCTAACTCGCAATGGCGTGGTCAATAAATACCGGGGATATTATGATTATTTACCCTCCTCGTTGATAAATCTTATTTATCGCTTATTTCAAATATTCATTGCGTTAAAGGAATAATCCGACGTGCCAAAATTTTAACGATTCAGAGACTGATTCATTAGATAATGAAATGAAATTTCGCCTTATATTTTCGTATAAACAGAAGACGATGGTCTTTAGTTATGTCTGTAACTTTAAGTCATGAATTTTAAAATCCATTGACCAATTTTGTTGTAATTCGTTATTATGAATTAAATAATTTACCAAGAATGTATTTTCATTTGTACACTGAGTGGTTATAGTATGTTTTTTAATCGACTCTCAAACCCTTGTATTGCGCATGCGTGGTAGCAGTTAGCGACAAAGCGCCGACAATCAATACTACGGCAGTGCAAACGTAATCGTAATCGTAGCAGATCATAAATGCTAAACAAAATGTTGAACATATTTCTATTGTTTTTCATCGTTTTCAATGTGTATTGTGAACCGGAGACGGTGAGAGATAATCTAGATTACTTCAGTTACGGGAACAACGAAGATGTACTGAAGAATTTGGATGTACATGCCGTAAGTAATTACTTAATCTAGAAAATATTTACTATCATATAATAACTGTCTAATAAACATTTAGACAGAAGTATTTCGATTCTATGCAATCATGCTTTTTAAGCTTATTTCTAGACTAGAAGATCGTCTACGGTAAAATTAAGCACCCTCTTTTCTTTTATGCCGTGCGTTAAAAACAGAGAAGTTGGCGTCTGGCCAAAATCAATAATTCTTTTTTTAACTTAATATTAAATTTAATCGATTAAGTTGTGAATTTTCAAGTACTCCGTCATATATATTAAAGTGTAAACTTTTTTGTTTGGTTAAAATTCCAGCCTAAAGATGAGATCGTACTCAGACCACAAGAAGTAAAAGACTGGCCCCAACAGTCTCTCAACGTTGGCCAGATAACCGCAGTCTCTATAAATTCATTGGGACAACCGGTTATTTTCCACAGAGCAGAAAGAGTTTGGGATGAAAGGTACTTATAATCTGTTCCAAACAAATTAAAATATACAACTTAAAGAAATATTCTAACATAATTTAATTTCAGCACTTTTAATGAATCAAACGTCTATCAGAACTTAGACAAAGGACCTATAATAGAAGATACAATTTTAGTGCTGGACTCTCATACCGGGTCAGTTCTGCACAGCTGGGGGGCTTACGCATTCTACATGCCACATGGATTAACTGTCGACCATCATGATAATGTTTGGGTCACCGACGTCGCAAAACATCAAGTCTTTAAGGTAACATCATATTTCACTTGGTGAATCCACTAAAAAAACCTGTTCTCAAAAACACTATCAGCCTTCGATACAATAAAGAAAATTATGGTTAGATTGTTAAGAAGACCATCAATGATATTTTAAGAGAATGCTGACGCATCTAGATAACATAGTAAAAACAACATGGTTCTAGACCTAGCTCTCAATTCTATGCCAATATTATTACTTCTTTCCAATTATTTATGTTATTCTTTTTCAGTATACACCTAGCAATCACCAATACCCTAGTCTGACTATTGGTGAAGCATTTACAGCGGGCTATCCGTACAGACGTCGCGTATTGTTATGCATGCCGACTTCAGTAGCCATAGCAACGACTGGCGAAATCTTTGTCGCCGACGGTTACTGCAACAATCAGATCTTGAAGTTCAACGCAGCTGGTACTTTGTTGTTAACAATTCCTGCATTCACGGACACGTTAACACTCAATCTGCCACATAGTGTCACATTACTCGAACATCTGGATGTGGTGTGCGTTGCTGATAGAGAGAACATGAGAATCGTATGCCCGAAAGCTGGTCTTAAGAGTTACATAGATATAATGGAACCGGCGACGATAATCGAAGACCCTACGTTAGGCCGAGTGTTCGCTGTGGCTTCTCATGGTGACATTATTTACGCCGTCAATGGACCGACATCACAAAACATAGCAGTTAGAGGGTTTACTGTAAATGCTGTTTACGGTAATATTTTGGACACTTGGGAACCTGCTACTGTAAGTAGTTGTTTTCAATCGTTTTAACATTAAAAGCATCTGCCAAATCTTACTAGCCAGTTACAAAAATATCGTTTTTGTGGGAACAATGACTATTTATTACGAATTCTACAATATAGTATTTCTATTGTTTCAGGGTTTCACCAATCCGCATTCCTTGGCCGTAACGAGGAACGGATCTCACTTATATGTGACAGAAATCGGACCAAACAAGATCTGGAAGTTTGAATTGACCGATGTTTACGACCGAAAGTAGAAGACAACGAAGATACCTATAGAATAATTTATTTATAAGCTTTACAAAATATCGCTTTGTTGCGATGGCGGATAAAATTCGCATTTAACCTAACAGTTCTATAGTTAATTATAATGTTAAAAAATACGATAAACTTTACTACTATTGATGCTTAAAAATATATTTCAATTTAAATGTTTAACATGCTATCCGTAAATTCTATTGCAAAATATATCTATTCAAATATTATTATAAATCGATTATCATGTTTTGTTTATATTGTAAACGTAGCTAATTATGGTAGAATTTTGTACTATAATCGTTACGGTAGAGAATGGTTGGACGATCGCCAACGACGCCTGACAGGAAAAAGGGCGTCACTGATCTATGAATTACTACCAGTTAATACCTTTAAACGCTCCACTAATATCGAGAAAAAGTATCACCTAGGACGTTAGTACAGCTAAAACCAGTTTAGTCCATAATTTGGTTCTCAACAGTTATATTCTGAAACTTATTCTAAAATGTTTCAAAAATTACACAACATTTTTATGTTTAAAATGCTAATATCTATTGTCTCAATTCTAAAATATATGTCCCAAGTAAAACACTCAGAAACGTGTTTTAAAATAAATAGACCCGACATTCAAAAGCAGTTCAGAAGCCACTTTTTCCACTTTATTTGTACTGTTATTTCTAACAATGTCGTTTGCATACTTTAACCGTCGTTGTTTTATATTTGTTGACCATACCCAGTGTCTAGTTAAAAATAAAACTGTACTTTATGAGTATAGTTGTAATTTACATTAAACTTTTTCATTCTAATTAAATAAAAAAATGTAAAGTACGGTCAGACAATAATGGTTACAATGAAACAAGGAATTGAAAAGAATATTTCGAATAAAAGACCGTCAGCAAAACTATGTATACAAATATTGAATTGCCTCCTACAAGAACAGTGTCTTGTTTTGTTACATTTATTCAAAATGTATACTTAATTTCTTCATAAATCTGTAGGAAATAATAAATAAATCGGTTAACAAAAAGTATTATTAATAATTAATTGCATTAAAACATAAATTTATTGTAATACAATTGCTTCTATCATATAGTTAAGAAATAATGTTCTTGTAGATTTATTTTTGAAACAGTATTGTTAGAAGTATTTTAGAAATGTAGACATGCTTTTCAAAAAATATACAAGGACTTTTGGTCCAAAATAATCACGCACAGGATAAAAATGGTCTATGTTGTTGAAGAGATTTGAAAGTCTATGGTCTTTGAGATCCCTATACTATTTTTTTATTTATGTTTCTTTAAAAATATTAAAGGCGTTAAAATTGTTACATTATTTTATCTATGTTAAGAAAAAACTTCTGTTGCTTTGTTTTTTAACACATTCAATGCCATGTCCTTATGATAATCGTAGTGGCATTGAAAGTGTTAATCCAGTGGCATTGTAAGTGTTAGTGGCATCCAAATATAATACAACAGCATTAGATACATTTATGTATGGACCAAATAAACATTTGGCAAAAATTGTTCAAAAAGACAAATACGTAGAAAAATCTATCTTAGATTATATTCAAAAACTATTTATTATAATATATTAAAGGTATAAAAAATTGTTTTATTTACCTCAATACCTTTAAGTGAATTTCATAGCCTTCAAAAGATTGCATTATTTTGGACTAACTGTTGTTCGCGATTTCGCTCGTCAAATTAAAAAAAATACAATATGGCCTATGTTACTCAAAAATAAATTACCTTACTATTGATGAAAGAATTTTAAAAATCGGACCAGTAGTTTTTGCGTGAATCAAATACATATAAAAATACAATTCTTTCCTCTTTATAAAACTGACTACAATTTTTTATGTATCTTTAATAAATAATAGTTATTTAAACATTTGGGTATATGAACAAAAAAAAAGAACTCAAAGGGATTAAATTATTCCACATTATTTGCCAATAAATATTTAATATAGTTATTATAAATTCACAGATATTTACCATTACATAGATACAAAATGTTATCAAATGTCAAACTACCTACCTATTAACTTTCATATTTTCTTTTCTTCATTACTTTCATGAACAGGACCATATCTGTAACAAAAAAAAAACATATCTATACTATTATAATAAAGCGTAAACACACACTTCTTTGTTGCCTGAGATGTCAGCAATTACAGCATGTTTTTCAATAATTCTTTTTTTAATAAAAAGCCCTTCACTTACGTCATGCTTCAGGCTATATATTTTCACGCCATTAAACTATGGGGTAAATATTTTAGATAAAATCCCCAATATGGGAAAGAGACCATAAGTTGCTGCCAACATCAAGGAAGCAAGATTGCCAAGGTGTGTCACGTCATGTCATTTTGATATTTGCTATTGATAATTTGACAAACATAAACAACAATATAAAATTTTCACAATTTCGTGCGGATGAAGTCGCACGGGAACACCTAATTTAATTATAAATGCGAAAATTTAGATAGATAATGGATGGATGTTTATTAGAGTTTGTAGCTTAAACTGCTGAAGTCAATAAAAGATGTTGAGGATACTCTGAAAGGACACATTGGCTAATTACTTTTGATTCTTTAATTCCAAATGGATGGAGTCGGTAGCGAAAACTAGTAAAACATATACAAACATACAAATATGTTAAAAGCTACAAAACTTACTTATAAATATCACCATGACAACAGCAAGCATGATCCACAGCCAGCACTTCCAAGCGCTGCGGCTGTGCACCTGCAGCCGCTCCGACTCCACCTTCAGTGACATCATGTTGCGGTCCGTCAGATCCGATGACTTCTTCAATGCCTGCAAATACAACTTACTTGAATAGTATGTCGTTATTTTAACAAAAGACTAACTACAAAACATTTACAAATTTGAAAAGTACACTGAAATGTTAAGATTAATAAAACCTATGCGGCATGAGAATGCCAAAAATATTTCAACAAAACACTTTTTTTAATATACTACTAAACCCTTAAAAAACTAAATAATTTAATGGTCCCAATATTTGGGATTTAACATTCGATTCGTTAATCCAATAATCATCATCAGCTTTTTTATTTTATTCTCTTCCATAGCCTTTATTCCCAAAAGTTTCCTCCACCACCTAGAGTTAGCCTGACCGCACCAGATATGACCGGACCATGAGGACCATAAGGGATGCAAGTTCTACTCCATTATTAAGTTAATTCCATGTTCTTTTACAGTTAATAAATAAAACTAGCTTTCGACCGCGACTTTCTGGGAGAAATAAATAAATAAAAAGGTGGACTTTGTGTTCTTCTAGACAATCTCTATATGTATGCTAGATTAGATTAAAACTCATTCGGCTGTTATCTATACTATTATAATAAAGAGTAAACACACACTTCTTTGTTGCCTAAGATGTCAGCAAATGCAGCATATTTTTGAATAATGCTTTTTTTACTAAAAGCCCAACCCTTACATCACACATTAGGCTATATATTTCACGCCATTAAACTGAGGGGGTAAATATTTTGGATAAAAACCGTAATTTGGGAAAGAGACCATAAGTTGTTGCCAACATAAAGAAATAAAGATTGCTAAGGTTTATCATGTCATGTCATTTTGACATTTACAATTAATGTAAACAACAAAATAAAATTTTCATATTTTATGCGGATGAAGTCGCATGGGAACAGCTAGTGGAGATATATAGACACAAAGCATCCATCCATCCATCAATTTACACTTTTGCATTTAGGATGTTACTAAGATGTTAAAATTTTATGTTTACTCACCTCAGTATCACCTTTAATAATAGTGCTGGCAATTTGTGATTGTTCTTTTAAACTTTTAGTAAGCAATACCATATTTTCTGCAACCTTTTCCTGCATATTCTGGTGATATTTGAGCAATGAGTCAATGTCTTCTTGGCTTGTACTGTTGCTGGTGAAATTTGGTGCTTTTATTATATTCCTCTTACGTAAAGTATCATCACTGTCTTCTGAAAAGGAAAAAATATAACATGTTATATGCATGTTGTAAACTTGTATACTAAAATTACAAATAGGAAAGATTTGTATTTTTGTATGTATTGGATTACAACAAATGTGAAAAACAAAAGTGTAAAAGTTATTTGGATGGCAATAAAGAGGGTTTTATTTATTTATAAAATTGTAACAATTATCTCTATACATATAATAATTGCCACTTGTATAGTCAACAAGATTGTCCACCCCTGGTCTATAAAAATACCATATTACGAGTATATCATCATCATCACCAGCTCACTATATGTCCCCACCGAGGGGCTCGGAGCCTGCCTTAAAGTTAGAGTGACTAGGCCATAGTCAACAACGCTGGCCAAGTGCGGGTTGGTTGACTTCACACATATCTTTGAATTTCTTTGCCGATATGTGCAGGTTGCATCACGATGTTTTCCTTCACCGTAAGAACGTCGGTTAAATTATGTACATATGAAAATTCGAAAAATCGAAAATCACATTGGTACATGGCGGCGGGATTCGAACCCAAGACCTCTAGATTACAAGTCAAGTGCTTAAACCACTGAGCCACCGACGCTTCGGTACGAGTATATATATGGAATTAAATTGTGACATCCTGTTTGTACAAACAATATATTAAGTAGTTTCTATTATACTATAAATGCTTACCTAAGCCAAACAATTCAGTTCGCAGTTCAACACCATATTTAGCAACAGTTTTTTGATGTATTTCTTGAGCGGCAGCATCTGTGGTCAAAGTTGCAGCACCATGGGATAGGAGCTGAACTGCCTCCAACTGGAAATTCAGAACACTTCTATAATAATATTCTAAAGATGGGTAGGTAGGTAATTTATATGCAACATAGGCTATATTCTTTAATTTCACACAGGCAACAGTTAGGCTTTTACAAATAGCAGTATTTTATAACAGTAAATTATATTTTACACTACCACACTTTGGTTTGAAACTTTTGAGTGAATAATAAAGGAATATTAACATACCTTCTCTATAGGGCTATTTAAATTTGCCGTTTGAATAAGTCCTTTCAAAAACGTTGCGCGTTTTGAATATTCGGAAATTACGTCTTTTGATATTTTACTGTAACAAAAATTACAAATAACAGTATGCATTTTTTATTTATAATAGGGCTTTATTTAAACATCCAATAATGATGTATATAGTTTTATACTGTTTATGAAGGCACTCACTCCGGTAAGGTTTTTAACTCAGCTATCATTGCACCCAACGCTTCCACGTACTGCTTCAGTCTCCAATTCCCTTCGACGGGTTCTTGTTTAGCAATTAATTCACATTTATTAAGCAGCAGTCGTACATTCATCTCTTCTTTACCTATTTTAGGTACAGTTGGTGTACTCATTTTCATCTTGATTTATAAATTGATTTATTTACGGGGTATGATTGTATTTGTTATTGTTTAAGGCCAACAATATCAAAAATATTTTGAAAACATGCAAAAATTCGCCACCGTCAATACAAAATTCCGACCGAATGACAGTTTGTTTGTTTTGACAATGACAAGTTGACAAAACGTCACAATTTCTATGTTGGTGTTGGCTGCTACTTTATAGTTTATATACTCTTTGGTTTATATCGCGGAGGTTTAGAAAAAAGTAACGGTTCGTGAGATTAGTTCTTCAAAATATTTTGTATTTAAACGTTGTTAGTATTTTTCATGCTATGTATATTTTTTGTGCGATTTTTTTTATACCAGACTATTTTTTGTACAAAGAAAATAGAAAAAGCAATAAAACTGGTATTTTTCTTAGCTTACATTTTACTTTACTTAGCTTATTACCACTACAGACATGATGTTTTATTTTTTCAGAGATAAATAAAACCCGATTAAATATAGAAATATTGTTAAACCTTGCAACTGTTTATTAGATTGAAAAAGAATACTTAATTATAGTACAAAAATTATGATTTGGGTGGTTGCTTCTTGGCGGCCTCTGCCTCAGCCTCGCTCTTCTCAAATGCAGCAATAAGTTTTTCCACTTCTGTGCTTGTCAAGATTCTGATGATAGTTTTATTATCCTTCCTTGTTAGTGTTGCCATCTCAACTGCAAAAATAAAATCAATTAGTATTTAAAACATGATACTCTATTTTATTGTAACATTTTCTGATATTTACCTTTCTCTGGTGTAAGTTTAGTCATATCAAGAGTTTTACTGAGGACCTTGATTGCTAATGCTTGAGCTTCAGCCAGAGTAGTTTCATTCTCTTTGTATTCCTGTTTGAGGCTGGAGACTGCAGCCTGAAATAATATTTAACACAACATGTTATATTTTAATGACAATGTCAGTTTTACATTATGGTAGTAAAGATAAAAAAATTGTGAACATTCTATGCCACTAATGAATTTAATAGAAACACATTCAATGAACAAATCAAATAAACAACGGATAACTATGAGTCTGTCTTATATGAATAAATATATATTTTAATCAAGGTGTTTAACTCACAGCACTATTATTGCCAATACATGTGGCTTTCCATCCTCCATAGTTACCGCTGGGATCAGACTGATATAATTGGTAGCCATAATGTTTATCCCAACCCATGTACAAAATGGATACACCAAATGGCCGCTTACCTGAAAGAAATCAATTAAACTGTTCCTTTAAATTCTCTGTTTGATCAATACTTTAACATGTAACAAAAGAAATTCAAAACAAATTGTGACTACATTATTTTATACTCGCCTCCATATTGAGTGTATGCCTGCTTGACATCACAAAGCCATGAAACAAGCTGTTCACAAGGGATTGACTCTCCATACTGCAACAGATACCTCTGGGCGATGAGACGCAACTCATTGGTCAGAACATTGGCGTCAGATGTTATCCCGGCGACTGAACAAACCATATCGTCGTTCAGTTTGTAGATTTTCTCAGAGAAAAATACTTCATCAAGCAGCTTGTTGGTGTTCCTACGTTCAGCCGCAAGTAATATGCCGTCTGTGGCCAGAATACCGAGGGATGTTCCGGCGTGACTGATAGCTTCCATCGCATATTCGACTTGATACAGTCGTCCTGAATGAAGTTGGTAAAATTAAGAAATAAATCAAATCAAACATATCATTTTCTTATTAATTAGTCTAAATAATAGTACATACCTTCGGGTGAAAATATTGTTGTGCGAGTATCATAACGACGAGCCTAAAGAAAACAGAAAAAGCTATGTATCAAACCAGAATGACCAAGCAAGATGTCGATAACCTTATTATGTTCTGATGGTTTCTAAACTTTATTATAAAATATAGGTTTTTACTTAAATCTCTTACCATTTTATATAATTATCACGGATATTTGAATATATGTATAATTAAAGATATTTTAGCTAAAGTTAATAACAGTTCAAAAACAGCTTCGCCGGATGACAAGATGACAGCAAACTTTTCAATTTGATAGATTTTTTGCAGATTATATTATATACCATAGACTAAAAAGTGACCGACCAAAATCAATGTTTTCTTTCTGCACTTTATTTTAATTTTTAAAATTATAAACTTATTAAACAATTTTAACTTGACGTTGTTATTATAATATTTTTATTTGCCAGTATGATAAATCTATCCAACTAGGGTCGGCGACAGGCATGCGGTTTGGACATACAGATTCAGTTGAAACATTAAGGATTATAAAATCTGGAGTATAATCTAAGTGTGAGAGCGATAAGGACAGAAAGATGAAGTCTGTCTAGAGCAATATCTCTTATTACTACGATACGTACCTAACTGATTTCGGTAACTCCAACACAAAAACATTTTGAAAAGCAAAACAAGGCACGCTTAATTTCCGTTACCATGTGACAGTTATGATAATAAATATTTAGGTCGTTTTAATTGATTTTAGCTTTGTAATAATCGGTAAAACAAAAGTACAGTTAACTAAGGGGATCTTCAACAATCTATAATTATTTAAGAAATCTCCCAAAAACAAATAAAAATCCCATATTATCAAAAGTACCTTTATTAAAAATCATTCGAATCACACGTATTAGGTCACTTAAACTACTTAATATTATTATGCCACAATAACAATACCAGTAACAAATAAAAACAAACGATTCTTTAAACACAAACTAAAAATTCCATCATATGCTGTCCAATCTATTCCAGTAACCTGAATACGCACAAGCACATTGTAAAATTTTTATTTGCATCGTAATTATAAATTACGAATAAAAATTTAAATAATCAAACACCTCCAAACAATCGATATCTTATTAATACGTAATTTACCCTAAAAACAAAATTTAGACGCGTCTAAATATCGAATATAATTACTTAAATATAGTTTAAAATATAAAATATTCAGGCATTGCTATGGCCATCAGTTGAGCCGTCAATATCTTTTAGTCACATAACTTTTCGCGAAGTGGTAACTAGGTCAGCGATGGGTTGGACAATAATGTAAAATAGAATCATGACAACGAACACCATAAGAGCAGTGGAGAGGCCAGGTTGACTTGCACTAAAGTAGTCCATGTTGAAACCAATAGCCATTGTGATAAGGCCCATTGATATCGCGAACAAGCCGACAGCAATATGCAGTATCTTCACAGGCCCAGTTTTGATCATTAAACGCACTTTGGACGAGAAGAGAGCTATAATACCAGTGATAAAACTTATCAATGAGAATGCTAACGCTATGACACCTGAAAACAAGAAAAATATTCATGTAAATAACATTACATAGAATAAACAAAATTATATTCTGATGCTCTTTTTAAATTATTCACTTATTAAAAGTATTAAAACGGATGAGCTAACGTTTTATAAACAAACTAGTTGCTTGTGACTTCGCCGGCGTTAAATTAAAAAAATAACTAAAGATCTTACTGCAAATGTTTCTCACTGATAACGTAGCTTTTTTATTGTGAAATAATTTTTGAAATCGGCCCAGTAGTTTTTGAGTTATTTCAATACATACAAAAATACAAATCTTTCCTCTTTATTAGTATAGACAGATAGCACTAACTACGACTTTTTTAGCTCGATTATTACAATCATTACCCACTTAATAAAATATCAATCCATTTATTAAGGGCGTTAGTAGCGCCCACTGAACGGATTTGGGCAAAGTTATTTTCTTTAGTTATCCTTACCGCAGATTCCATGAGGAGTATTGATCTGCATATCAACCTCTGCTAAGCCAAGGAAAGTTCCAGCAATGACAAATATGGCGCCAATCAGTTGGAGACATCCGTGCACGACTCTCTTACTGTCCACAGACAACTGTCCAGACCACGCGTTATGTCTGTGTAAAGTTAGTACTGCTTCCACCAAAAACAATTGATACTGCAATACGTCACATGTTTTTAGAATCTTAGATTAAAGTAATGAATAGGTAATTAATGATGGCAAAACAATCTATGATTATAAAGACAACTAGAGTAGAGGTTATCTTGTGGACTAGTTACGATTTTTAAATATAAACGTTCGAAATAACCCGAAAACTTGCTTCATAAAAGGTTAGTATTTATTTTGAATAACCATTTGGGTTTTTTTTACCAACATTTCGACTTATTTGACGAAAAGATTTTCGGTATGTGATTTTTTACTCTTAGATCGCGTGGAATTATGGTCGAATGCGGAATGTTCCTTCTTTACAAAAAACTATTTAAGTAGATACTTATATAGTATCATGAATCATCACAGATCGGTGTAAATACGATTAAAGATAAGGTATTTGTAAGATGTGCGAGATAAAATGAATATTGTATACTCGAGATAGTATGATGGGTTCAAATACATATTTAAATTTAAAAAGTTGTTGTAGTGGAAGCACAATAATTGATTGAAATTTTTGATTGTTGAACTTAATATAGATAATAAATACGTACACCAGTTCCAGCAAAGATGATGTGCAACTGAAGGTTGCTGATAGATCCATTAGGCGAAGATGTCAATGCGAAATGCCACATGCTGAACACGACTATCGCAATCTGCATATGATGAAGTAAATTGAATAACTGGCAGATGGCTTGCCAAGCAGAGTTCCACGAGGAACTATACATTTCGCCACTTTCTGCATCATATGCCGCCGGAGCTCTGGTCAGTTCCGCCTGGTACGGAACGTGTTCCCGCACTTCGAACATTTCCACCTTCTCAATCGACTGCCGGCTTGTACTAGGTCGATCCATGTTTGACCTCTTGGTGACGTTGTAAGTCCCCCGGAACTTGAGCAGTTTTCGTCGCGTGACGCGGTCGCATAGAATCCTATCTCCTCACTGACTAAACATTCGAGACGGCACAATTTCTTTTAAGATAAAGTTACTCTTATTCCAGATAATATAAGGAATTCGGTTTCGAACTGAGCTATCGTTAGGATTGACAGCTTTGAGATTAGAAACTTGCGTAACTATCAGATATAGGGAGACGATAGTGTGTATGTTTGCAAGATTAAATTTATCAGTATCATTCTTTTGGGAAAATGTTGAAATCCGCTTCTGAAGGAGTGTGAAAAATTCTTGTCTGTCTTCGCGACCTACATTTTTTTGATCGCGATGAAGGTAAAATGCCAAGTAGAGATAACTCTCACCTCGTGCAACAAATACAACTTAATTTATTTTCGATTCTGTTAAATCACTTATGGTAGCACTTTATTTGTTTAATAATGTAATAAAAAAGACAACTATAAAAACCATTCGGGACTATCTTACTTTTTTAGTTTAGCTATTGAACACTAGATGGCGTTGCATGTCGCATCAGAGTAAATAATTTTACTTGAAATATTGAGATTACGTGTCAATTAGAAAGGCACATAATTACAACGTAGGTAGTACGTTCTAAAATAACATTTATTTCCCAAAAAAATATTTATGTTAACGTTTTTGGGCGCTAGATTGGACAAAAAAAATAAAACCTAAAAGCCAGTGCTAGTCATTTAGTACTACAATAGTCCTTCAAACAGTTACTTTGAGTGTTAAAAACACATTAATAAATGTATAAATTGAGAAGGTAACTATTCCTTTTTCGGTATTATTTATTGGAGCTGTCAGCTCATAAGGTTGTGACTATTAAAATAAAATGCCTACGAGGATGGTAACGAAAAGGGTACCGCGTCTTTAAAATAAATTAATAAGACTGTTAATCACTTCGTAAGGGTCTTTGAGGTCGGGCGAGAATACATTTTTCTACTAAACATTGGAGACAAAGTAGAAACAATTATACAGAAAGACAAGTAATTGTCAGAAAACTGATTTCTTTTGGTAAACGGTTATCACACTAATATTATAAATGCGAAAGTTTAGATCGATGGTTGGATCAATGTTTGTCAGAGTTTGTAGCCTAAACGGCTGAACGGATTTCTATGAAATTTGGTATAGATGTAGAGGATAGTCTGGAAAAGCACGTAGCCACATTTTTTTTTTAATTCCACGCGGACGGAGTCGCAAACGAAAGCTAGTTTGTGAATATTTTTTAGTATGTTTGGTTTCTATTAATTTTAAACTAGATTAACTAAGGCTACAACTTTTTAATGTTGCGAATATTAACTGCCTGGTGATTTTTCTAAATATTTTTAGTGTTTATTAGATATAAGTAAGTTGTTACTACAAGTAACTTAAAGATGCTTTCAAATTAACATATAAAATTATAATTTATATAGCTTGACAAGTGTTACTGTACTTATTAGTGGATTATAATCTGATATCATAATAAACACTATGATTAAGTTGTTAAAGGTAATAAAAATAACAGGGTAAAGTTGTGTTACGACACAGTCTTTCGTGCCTGTCGGGATAAAGCTAGTTTCACATGAGAGCAGGGTTTTGTAGAGCAGTAGGATAATGCAGTACTGTTATTGTTCTCTATCGGCTTGTGAACTTAAACAATAGTAGTACTGTTTTATTTAACTGTGCTACCTTCGTGGAAACATTTTGTTACATTACACTAGCTGAGTGAAGACGATTATAAATCGATTGTCGGTATCGAGACAGTGTATCGATTATGGCCGATTATTGATTCTGATTTATAGCGCTATGGATACGTCTATCATCAACTGATTTAATAATGTTATAGTTTATCGAATAGTGAAAGTCGTGTACCCAGTGATGTATAACACAATTTGTTTTTATTTTTTTAACCGACTTCAAAAAGGAGTATCTCAATTTGATTGTATGTTTTTATTTTAATTAAATTGATTTCTAAGGTGTTGTTATTTATAACATGTTTTGTTTTATTTTGTATTCGGTACAAATTAGATAATATGATATCTAATAATAAGCAAAAAAAAATCAAATTATACTATACGAAGCAAGGATACATCCCTGACCATATTTAAGCATCACCCAAGAAAACTATGTTTTCACAAGGGGAATAATCCTATCATACTAATGTTATAAATTTAAATTTAAACTAGTAATAAATGCGAAAAGTTTGTAGCCTAAATGGCTTAACAGATTTCGATGGAATTTGGTGTAAAAGAATAGTCTGGAAAAACTGATAGACTACTCACATTTTTTTTTAAATCCACGCGGATGGAGTCGAGAGCAAAAGCTAATTCAATAATAAAGATATGTAGAAAATAGACGGACAGATTGTGCGGGTGACTGAAAAGTAGGTGAGTATGACAACGGAGTGTTGTTGTGAAAATTTAAAACTCATATTAAATATTCGTTCACAAATTATTGTAACATCGTTCAAGGGTTCTAAGTAAATCAAGCTTGTGCACGTCTAACATCTCTCTATTCCCATGGCTATTATAAATGAAGGGACGCGTTGGCGATGGCCACGATTACTATCATTACATTTATCTTTAGCCCACGACGGCATGCGCGGAGATAACTCTTCTATACGGAAGTTGTTCCGATGTTATTAAATAAGTATTACGATGATATTGGAATAGTAGACAAGCAATGATTTGAAAAAAAAAAATTGACTATCAATACTAATATTATAAAGAAGAAAGATTTGAATTTTTGGATTTATGTATGGATTGAAATAACTCGAAAACTACTAGGGCGATTTCAAAAATTCTTTAACAATGGTTATTTCATGAAATAGGCTATAATTATAATTTTTTAATTTAACGCGAGCGAAGTTGCGAGCAACAGCTAGTATTTAACATATTGGACAGTTGTATCGCTATCAGAAATTTAACGTATAAAAGTTACTACACAAATTTATGAAGCGAGTTTGTCGTTTTTAATTAGATTAGTTCAATCTATACTTCTATACTATTATAATAAAGCGTAAACACACACTTCTTTGTTGCCTAAGATCTCAGCGATCACAGCATATTTTTATATAATTCTTTTTGTAATAAAAGCCCTACACTTACGTCATGCTTTAGGCTATATATTTTCACGCCATTAAACATAGGGGGTTAATGTTTTGGATAAAAACCCTAATGTGGGAAAGAGACCATAAGCAGCTGCCAACAGCAAGGAAGCAAAATTGCCAAGGTTTGTCATGTCATGTCATTTTGACATTTGCTATAATTAATTTGAAAAATGTAAACAATAAAATAATTTTTTTATAATCTCATGCAGATGAAGCCGCTTAGGAATAGCTAGTGTAATGGTAAGTTACTAACGCATAGTCAAAAGTTAAAGTTACCAGTTTAATGTCTCGGACCACCCAAGCTCTTTCTACTTTAACATTTAAAAATCAATACTATCACCTTAATCATAATAAAATTGCGAAGTAAACGATTTTATAACACTATCTTTTTTCGTTTTGAATATCATAAAGTAAAATTAATTTAGTTCGTTACATTATTAATATAGCATTTGGGCTGTTTTAATAACTTAATAAGAAAGCAATAGGTGACTGTTGGTGGGCCGGGATGGTAGCAGATTGTGTGGTCCGTTCGGTTTGCGAGGTAGAGCGGATGTCGATAAATCTGAATCCTGCCAACAAGAAGCGAACTCTAATACTACTAGTAAAGTAACTGATTTCTTTGTTGTACTATTTCATATTGCTATATTATGTTGTGTGTGATATTGAAAATAGGTTCGTTGTCGGCAGAGATTTAAAAGTCACAATTTACTAAACTTATATTAATCAACATGTTTTTATTTTAAGTTCATGTACTCTCCCGATAATAGAATTATTTACTTTTATATTATATTAACCGTACTATGGAAATAACCAAAATTAAGATTTTATACAATATGTCTTAAATAAGTTTTTTTTTAATTTATCGAGTATGCATGTCCAACACTAGTGTTGAAGCCTTCGCTTGTTTGTTAATTTAAAATAGCTAGGGCTCCTAAAGGATGTAGGTAATTGTTTCTCGAAACCCATATGTTTCAACTCCCGTAATTACTGTGAACGTTTGGACATTACAAAAAGATTATGGTAAAATTAGTGCTTTTTAACCAAATTTTTATAGAATTAAAATGCTATTGTTGTTATTAGACTGTGGTATATATGAGGGTATCTCCATATAATGTACCGTACATTCACTAATAATAAATCAGTCCAGTACCAACCGCCGTTTCATTCGCACA